ACATAACATAATTCTCTTTTCTCGTTCGTCATGAGGTCTGTAACTAGACCAGTGCTGCTCTGACTCAAGCAATCTTCTGCTCTTACTTTTATGTCCTAGGTTTACATTTCCTTTAACTCTATCTATCCTCTATCTTTCTGTCCATCTATACTCAATCTCTCCATCATCCATCCATCTATCCTCGTCTCTGCATCAATTCATGTGATTATGTACATGTTTATGTGACTGTGTTATAAGCATATGCTTCTCTCCCTCCCCCTCCCTCCCGTGTGTGTGTGTGTGTGTGTGTGTGTGTGTGTGTGTGTGTGTGTGTGTGTGTGTGTGTGTGTGTGTGTGTGTGTGTGTTGGCAGAGGATGCCTTATTCCCGTGAAACAGTCTGTTACTGAGCTTGGAGCTAGGCTGGCAGGCCATCAGCCCCAGCAGTCTTCCTGTCTCCATCTGACTCTCCCAGTGCTGTGGTCACTGGTGTATACACAGCCGTGGCTGCCTTTTTACCAGGGTGCTGGAATCCTAACTCGAGTCTTCTTGTTTGTGCAGCAAGTACTCTCACCCACAAGCCATCTCTCCAGCCCCTGTGTTTTGGGCTTTAAAGAATGCATGTGGCACCAGTGTCTGGAACAGATCCCTGGTTTTGTTGTCCAGGGGAGGGAGCACCAAGCAGCAGTATGGCTTCTTCTTAACTAGAGTGACCATGGTCCTGTAGCCGGCTTGGGGGGAAGGGCTGAATTCATGTAATACTGAGACCCAACTACGAGGCTCACAGTCTGTGGAATCTGGCAGAGGGATAATGTCTGACCTGGGCTGAGAGGGTTTGGTTTCACTGGAATCCAGTTTTGTTTTGTTTTGAGACGTGGAATGTTTTGTCTGTCTAACTCCCTGCCTGGAAACACAGAGAGAATTGATGTGGGCACCCTTTCTAGGCTAACATGACTCACAGGGTTCAGATCCTCCCATCAAGAGTAGAAAATTCCCCTCCCCTCAGGGCTCAGGGAGCTATGCAGAAGAGGAGGTGGAAAGATTGTATGGGCCAGAGGGGTGAAAAGACTGATGCCATATGAACTCAGAGACTGACAGCATGCCCAGGGATGAGGTCCCAGTGCTGTGATGGCAAAGTGGGCACAGGCTCCCACCCCTAACATCTGCTTGCAAAGGAAAAATTAGTTTTTTCCAATATAGTCTCACTGGTTATATTAACCACAGTTAAGGGCAGACCCCGTGTCCCGCAGTGGATCGTCGATACAAGGGGTTTTTGTTTTTTGTTTTTTTTTTCGGTTTTTTCGAGACAGGGTTTCTCTGTATTGTTTTGGAGGCTGTCCTGGAACTAGCTCTTGTAGACCAGGCTAGTCTCAAACTCACAGAGATCCACCTGCCTCTGCCTCCTGAGTGCTAGGATTGAAGGCGTGAGCCACCACCACCCAGGCAACAAGGGTATTTTTAAAATAGACTTTTTGTCTCATATTGTTTTGTTTGGACATTTATTTTTGTCTAACTAACCTTTTGCTTGCATATTATAGTTTCTGATTTTGTGTTTTTATGGATTTGTGTGTGTGTGTGTGTTGTGTGTTTTGTTAGGTCACAACTCCCACCACACACACCCAAATGGCTTCTCTCAGCATTGCTAGTACCTGTTACAGAGTCATCCTGGCTGGCATACCCCATGCCCTACCCTTAACTCTCCAGCCCCAGGCTGGGCTTCCCTCCCCCAGCATCTCTGATTCTTATACAACCCAGCCATTTGGCTACATCAGTCCCTTTCTCTCTCTTGATCTCCAGGTTTCCAGGAACTCTCTTTGCCTCTTGGCCACTCAGTCTGAGGCTCTTCCCTTAGCTCTCCTCTCCTGTCTCTCTTCACTTCCTCCTCCCTCCTCTCACGGCCCTGTTCAGTCTGGACTCTCCCAGGTGCCTCTGGCTGTGCTCTCCTCATATCTACAATAAACCCTCTCCTCAACCAGACCTTGAAGCAGTCACGTCCTCCTTTTAACATTTTTTTTTGGTTTTTCGAGACAGGGTTTCTCTGTGGCTTTGGAGGCTGTCCTGGAACTCCCTCTGTAGACCAGGCTGGCCTCGAACTCACAGACCAGACTTGCTTTGAATTCACAGATATCCACCTGCCTCTGCCTCCCGAGTGCTGGGATTAAAGGCATGTGCCACCACCGCCCGGTTTCCTTTTAACATTTTTTTCATTCATATTTCTCATGGTTATTGTGATTATGATTATTTTGTTTACCTGTTTGTTTCCTAAAGAGAGAAAGAGTGATGAAGTTGGGTGAGTGGGGAGGATCTGGGAGCAGTTGGGGAAGAGAAGCCTTAATGAGAATATGTTATATGAAACTTTAAAAAATTTTTTTAAATATGCATTTGTGTTTTACCTCTATGCTATGTCCATATGAAGGTGTCAGAGCCACTGGAATTGGAGTTACAGACAGTTTTGGCTTCCATGTAGGTGCTAGGAATTGAACTCCGGTCCCCTGGAAAAGCAGCCAATGTTCTTAACTTCTCAGTCATCTCTCCAGACAGAAAACTTTTTTTTTTCAATGAGAGAGAGAGAGGGTGGGGGCTCTATTTCATATATTTCTTTTTTTTCCTTTGGTTTTTCAAGACAGGCTTTCTCTATATTTCTGACTGTCCTGGAACTCACTCTGTAGACCAGGCTAGTCTTGAACTCAGAGATCCGACTGCCTCTGCCCCCTGAGTGCTGGGATTAAAGGCATGCTCCACCACTGCCTGGCTTCACATATTTCTTTTTTTTTTTTTTTTTTTGGTTTTTCGAGACAGGGTTTCTCTGTGGCTTTGGAGGCTGTCCTGGAACTCGCTCTGTAGACCAGGCTGGCCTCGAACTCACAAAGATCCTCCTGCCTCTGCCTCCCGAGTGCTGGGATTAAAGGCGTGCGCCACCAACGCCCGGCCACATATTTCTTATCTGAACTTAAAATTCATATTAACTCCAATCAAGCTCCCACTTAAGACCTGGCATGACAGTGTGCATACACTTGTAGCCATGACTGCTCAGGAAGCTGAGGCAAGGGGATCATCTCAACCCAGGACACTGACTTAACCTGAGCAGCATGATGAGATCTAGTCTTTAAAACACAAAGCAAAACAAAAAAAAACATTCTAAGACTGGCACGGTGGCACATGCCTGTCTGTAATCCTAACACAGGGGAGGCCAGTGAGGACTGAAAACATTTAATATTTAGCTCATACTTAAATTCATACTGGCTGGGTATGGTGATGTGCACCTTTGATTCCAATACTCAGGAGGCAGAGGCAGGTTGGTCACCAAGCTCAACACCAGCCTGGTCTACAGAGCGAGTTCTAAGCCAGCCACAGCTACAAAGTAAGAATGCCTAAAATGGGGTGGGGCACGAAGACCTGTTTATTTCATTATGCTTTCCACATCAATATATCATTTATTTAACATTTAAAAGCCACGTTTATATATTCGTATATGTGTGTACAGGCATGTGAAGGTCAGAGGACAATATGTGGAACACTGTGTGGGTCCTGGAGACCCCTGATCTCAGGTTGTCAGGCTTGTTGGTAGGTGCCTTATCCACTGAGTCATTTTGCGAGCCTACAATATATTATTTTATTCTGAATTCTTCTTTTTCCACTTTTCTTACTGTGAGTAAGGGCACTACATGGGAAACCATGGGAACTTGTGACTAACCCTTATGCTGTTTGCAGCTGTTGCAAGGACTTTTCCAGGCATTATGTCACTGGAGCCTCTTGCCAACCAAGGTTGGTAGGTGTTGTGCCCAAATTCTGAACCTCAAAATCACCAAGATACCCATTCCGATGTAAAAGCAAAGAGTCTTTTATTGTTTGACGAGGGTTCCCTCATCTGTCCAACACAGCAGTTGGCATGAAAAGGACCCGAAGGGACCTCGAGGCAGGACATTTATTGGAGAGAGCAAGAGGAGTGTCTAAGGGTATGCAACAGTCTCAGAATTGGTGCCCTTCCGGGCTTGGATGAACTGTCCTGTGTTGATTGGTCAAGTAGTTGCTATGGCTTATAGGCCCTCCCAGGGCAGTTGCTATGCTCTGTATGCCATAAAGTACACCTAGAGCCCATCAGCTAGCTTCTGATTGGTTTCTTGCCACCTGGAGGGAATCTGACCTCCTAGTGATTAGGACAGGTCTGGCAAGGTCAGACATGTACATGTGCTGAGTCAGAGGCCTACAACTTGCTGGGTCTTTTCTGCAGCTTGTCATGGCTGCTAAAGCAGGGGCTGGGTGAGGGTCTGGTTCCTTCAATAGGGTTATCCTCTGTTAAAGGGGGAAATTGGAACAATCAGAGAGGGAGAGTGACATGGCCAGGGCCACACAGGAGACAATCGATCTCAGCTGACTTGTTGAGTTTGTAATCCAAGCATTTGGGAGCCTGAGGCAGGAGAATTACAAGTTCAAAGGCCAGGCTGGGCTATATAGCGGGACTCCATCAGAGGAAGGTTGATCAGGGGTCAGAGTGTTGAATCCAGGGTGTTTGTTGTCTCTGCCCCCTAGCTAGCCTACATCTCCTTGGATGAGGAGAAGTACCTAGGGACTCCACTGAAGTACAGTAAGGGGACTTTCCATAAAAATAGAAGCTTTGCGTGTGACTTGATAGGAACTGCTGACCTGGCATGAATCTTGTCATTGTCCTCTCCTCTCTCCGTTTTCAGTGTGTATGCTGCCACCAAGTCCTGAGTCTGAACCAGACTAGAGTGGCAGCGGCGGGGCAGCGTGAGGCCAGGACCTAGACCCAGAGGTTGAAATGATATGGAGTGGCCCATCTGAGGCCCTCTGCTCTCCCTGGCCAACATCCCAAAGATTGTGCCCATATCCTGTCTGCTCCCTCCTCTCTGAGAGGCGAGAGTCTTCCATGTGGAAAAACACAGCTGGGCCTGGGTGAGCCCTGTGAGGGAGGAGGAAGGGGAGGGTGTGCCTGTCTGCTCAGGGCTGGCGTCTATGGGGAAAGGCAGATTGCATCAGACAGGACTTGGAGGGCGGGAGCCAGCCAGCCTGTGGTCTGAGGAGGAGACGGGTTTTATAAGTAGGGGTGAGGGAACTGGGGGAGGGCAGACAGTTGGAAAACAAGACACAGGCAAGACTTTGGAGAAAGCAGAGCAGGCATGATGGCCACCTTGCCACCAACAACCAGCTCCTCCCAGCAGCCCCTAAACCCAGAGGATGAAGATGGCATCCTGGACGAGTATGACCAGTACAGCCTGGCCCATCCTTACATTGGTAGGACTGCTGGGCAACTCTTTGACTTCTCCTACTCCTCCTTGGGTTTGGATTTTCTCTCCCAGATTGCCTTCTCTCACTAATCTATTCCCTACCCCAAAGTAACCCCAATCTAGCTTCATATACTGAGTTCTGTCCTCCTCAGCCCTGAGGACTCACTTCTAAGCATCTCTCAGTCTATGCTTGAGTAAACAGCAGGGGTAGAGTGCCCCAAACTCGCAGGGTGACCACCGACGGCCCTCCGGCTGTTCTGCCCTTCCCACTGCTATGCCCCGGGCATTTGTCTGTCCTCTGAACCTCACACCTCTCCTCTGCCCATGTCCCTACTACCTCCTGCTCCACCAGTCGGAGGAGGTCGGAAAGGCCGTACCAAGAGAGAAGCTGCCGCCAATACCAACCGCCCTAGTCCTGGTGGGCATGAGAGGAAGCTGCTGACCAAGTTCCAGAACTCTGAAAGGAAAAAGGCCTGGCGCTGAGCCAGAGCTGGAGGTGAGTTGTCGAGAGAGCCAGAGAGCCAGTAACAGTGGCTTTGCTCAGGGTGACAGGCCTAAGTGTGTAATTGAATGGGAAGTGGGGAATCAGAAGTAGACCCTGGGCTGGTGAGATGGCTCGGCAGGTAAAGGCACTTGCTGCCAGCATGACAGCCTGTGCTGGATATCTGGGACCCACATGAAGAAAGGGAGAGAATCAACTGCAAGTTGGCCCCTTAGGAGGACCCTGCAGGGATCTAGGCAGGGAACTGAGCCTCAGAAGATGTGAATGAAAACCTAGCGTAGATCAACTTTGTCAACCTGGACCAGGCTTCAGAGAGACTAATACCAGGCGGTTCACTGTCAGCATATTTTAAACTCTGTATAGTTTGGGGAAAGGTTTCCAGGCAGCAATCAGTCCAATCAGCCCAATTCCGGGTACACAATAAAACTTAAGGTGTGACTTAGTTGAGAGTCCTTTACAAAGTACATGTGACCATCAGGGTAGGTTCTGTAACTAGAAGACCTATAATCTAGTGCAGTCTCTGGCTGACAGCAGAGAGGTCAGCAGGCCATAAAGTATTTGTGACATCTCCCTCAAGGATGGGTAATGGTCTCAGGAGGGAAGAGTCTGGGATAATCCCTTTGGAGAATTAGGGTGAGGTCTGCCTCCAGGTGACCATGTTGTTAACAAATCCACTCTCAGCTTTCTCGATGGAATGCAGGTATTTGATTCCGTCTCTTCCATTGAGGAGACACTCTTGTGTGATTAACATTCCTGCTTCTCTGTGAGTACAAGGACCATGCCCTCAACATCCTTCAACCTCCACATGCTCACAGAGGTCCAAGCGTATGAGAATACTCATGTGTACATACTCATGCATGCACACTTGCATACCAGTAAATGAAAAAAAATAGCGTGTCATCTACAGCAAGAATGAGACCCATATTTAACTCTGAGTTCCACTCTAATGACCAGAATGGGGGAAGTTTCCCAGAGAGCCTTTCCAATTGGGAGGAAATTTGACTTACAGAAAGGGAAACTGAATCTAAACGGAGTCAAGTACTTCTCTGAGGTTACAGAAAAAATAAGTAGGAAAGCCAGAATTCAAACCCAGGTCTCTGCCCCTTCCACCACCTGCTTTCCCTCTCCACAGATGAGGCCAGACCATGGACATCACACCCAGCAATGGATAAGAACCTTGGAGAGATTAGGAGATATGGGCAGGATGGAGGCCTGCTTGACTCTTTCCTACCTAAGTGAGGCTCTAGAGAGGGGACACCAAAAAAGCCCTTCCAGACCCAGCAAAAGGGCAAGATTGGAGCAAAAATCAGGGCAAGATTGGGGGATCTAGCACCCCCAAAAACAAGTGTGAGAGAAACCAGATGCCCCCGGGAGACAGTGACAATAAATAGTACAGCAGCAAGAGCTTTCATGTGTTTTGTGTCGTCTGTTTTGTTGGCTGTGTTCATGGGGTGTGTCTCTTGGGTGTATATTGGAATGGCAGTTTCCTTGCTGTGTAGGACTGGAAACTGAGCAGGTTCTGGTATTGGTGCCTTTCTGTAATGTGTGCAGATACTTTTGGGTGCCTGTTTCTGTGGTTTCTTCGTGGGAAATTGCTTAGTTTCTTTGCATTGCTACCTGGGAGACAAACTGGCCAGTCCCTACACATTCTTGTACAGGATGAGATCATATTTATATAAAACTTATTTTTAAGAGAATGTTACTATTAATACCATTTGCAAAATGAAAGACCAAACAACCGAAGATTTAAGACATGGGGAATATTGGCTGGGTGGTAGAGGCTCATGCCTTTAATCCTGACACTTGGGAGAAGTGTTTGAAGCCAGCCCGGTGTACAGAGTGAGTTCCAGGATGACCAGTGCTACACAGAGAGACCCTGTCTCCAAACCAAACCAAACCAATAAACGAACAAACAAACAAACAGAAAAAAAATGGGGAGGATTTGCTTTAAGTGACTGAGAACTCAAATCCAAGCATGGAATGACAGGCTGGTTTCCAGGGCAGGGTTCTGGGCTCACTGGGGTGAAGGTTCTTAGTGGATCTCAGGACTAGAGTTCCAGGAGAGTGTAGCAAATGAGAAGATGGTTGGAACCAAGTGCATAGTTGCTGAGGTCTGAGTTGGGGCTGCTGTAATGACACCGAGACAAAACCAAGCAGAAAGTTCTTTCTCTCACACATAATAGCTCCAAGAGTAAATATTCCTAAATTACTCTATTGTGCTGGGGCTCCTGAACTTTTAGCTCACTGCTCTGCCACACTCCATACATCTCTACTCTGAAGCCCCAAATAGCTGCTCTACGGGCTGCCATCGCATCTGCATCTCAGTCTGTGGAAAGGCAGGCAGGAAAGCGATTACAAGAAGCCACACGTACTTTTCCCCCTTTCTGAGACAGAGGATCTGTTTCTCAGGTTGGTCTCAAACTCCTGGACTCAAGTGGTCCTTCAGCCTCGACTTCCTGAGTACTGGGACTCCAGGCATTTGTCACCACTCCCATTTTACCTACTCATTTTAAGGGCCCCATTTGAAAGTAGAACATAACAGTGCTTGCTCACAGTTTAGTCACATGCTGCACCCAACTTGAAGAGAAGCAGGAAATATCATACTTAGCTGCTCAGTCATGTGCTAACCCAAGCTTGAGTGCAGGCGGAGTTTTATTAGAGGAAGGAGAGGGAGAATACTGCAAAAAAAAAAAAAAAAAAAAAAAAAAAGAACAAGAAGCATCACTTACACTCAGTCCCTGGCCAAAGCGGGAGGAAAGAGCCCTAGCTCCAGCCCTGGGCTTAGCCTTCAGCCCCTTCTCCACAAAACCCTACTTGTAGAAAGCTTGGAGTCCACTGCACTTAGGTAGGGCCAGGGGCTAGAGTGCCTGTGACCTAGCTGGAATTCTCAGGGACCATATTCAGTCACCTTCTGAGTCCAGACCAACAACAGAGTCTCCCTGGAATCTGCCCCTGGGAGCATTAAAATACAAAAAGAAAACCTTCTGGCCTGGCTGGGCATGGTGGCACACATCTTTAGTTCCAACACTCAGAAGACAGAGGTAGGCAGCTTTGTGAGCTTGAGGCCAGCCTGATCTACAAAGTGAGTTCCAGGCCAACCAGGACTCCATAGTGACAACCTGGCTTCTTTTTAAGTAGTCCTGGCTATGCTAGAATTATGTAGACCAGTTAGATCTTGAATTCATAGAGATCTACCTGTCTCTGCCTCCCTCTCTCAAGTGCTGGGGTTAAAAGCATGTACCACCATGCTTAGCCCAAATCTTTACTCGATGTTTTTTTGTTTTCTTTTTGTGGGAGGGGTGGGTTTCAAGACAGGGTTTCTCTGTGTCTTTGAAGTCTGTCCTGGAACTATCTCTTGTAGACCAGGCTGGTCTCGAACTCATAGAGATTGATCTGCCTCTGCCTCCCAAGTGCTGGGATTAAAGGTGTGCACCACCACTGCCTGACTTTATTCGCTGTTTTAACGTTTGCTGGTTGCCTGTTATTTTACCAGGGCAGACCCGAGGCACAAACTGTGGTGCTACTGTTTGCGCCAGAGCATGGTTGATAGCAGCACCTCTGGGTGGCTCGCTTGCAGCAGCACACGGCTATCTGGGTGTCGGCTTCAGTACCATAGCAACAGCTTCCATGTTTTGGGCTGCCGCCCCCGGACAAGTTTTGTTCATTTGTTTGTTTGTAGGATTTATTTTCTTCTGGACATCAAATGTGGAGCTACTTGCTAAGAAGGCAGGCTGCCCTGCGGCAGGACTTTGCAGAAGTTCCTCCATTTAATCCGTAAAGTAATCCAGTGGGACTTATTACTAGTGCCTCCCATTTTTCCAAACAGAAAGCCAACGCTCAGGGAATTTAAACTTTGCTTTGTAAGTACATGCTACAGTATATATAGTGAGCTATATTGTACTTCATAACTCACTTAAGAGTCATGTAGCTTCAACCAGTGGGGCATGGGACTATGAGCTCAGGTCTATCTGATTTCTAACCCCTGGCCTTTTTCCTTTTTATGGTATGCTTAAGAAACACAGTGTCCTGGCAATGAAAGACCCTAGATTGTAGACAGGTTACCTCACCCATCAAAAGGTGAGATCAGTGTCCCCTCTGTCAAAGAGAATATGAAGGCCAGGAATGCCCTTCCCTCAGCTTTTATGGCCAGTCCCAGCTGCTAGGCCCTTCAGCACCTGCTTCTTAGGAGACACACACACACCCCTTACTCTTGGTCCATGGGCGGCCCTCTGCCTCACCTTGTCCCAGCGAGGCCTCTGCCTGTGAGGCCTTTCAGACTGTTCTGGGAACTGTTGCAGCAATTCTTGGAACAAGAGCGAGCTCAGATCAGGAAGGAGCCTGGGCAGAATGCCCCTCTCCTCCACCCCTTTTTAACCTTCTTCTTCCGGTTGCATAGAGTGTCTATTCCCCCAGTTTCGGGGGTTCCTCATTAGAACCAGAGAAATCACTGACCTCTTTCCCTTCAGGGCCTTCCAGAAACTTCTCTGAGATTTCCATAACTGAAAGGATTCCCAGCCCCTTGCAGAGAATTGAGAAACTAGCTGTTTCTCAAAAAATTTCTAGTTTTCTTGTAACCAACCCTTTCTCAAAAGCCAGCTCACAATACACATATATGTGCATACATTCATACATACATATATACTTAAATTTCATGATGACTCAAAGTAAATTTTCAACTAGCACTCCTTAAAGATAAAGCAAGTAATAGTCATAGCTGTAGCCACCGCTATGTTGGGTGCCTTAGGGCTTCCCCTGCGTCATCTCTCATACACCATTCCTTCCAGTTCCGCCCCACAGGGCACTCGTGCTACATTGTATTTACTTAGCATTGAAAATCACCTTTACCTTTTTTACTCAAATGCACTTAAAAAGGAAACTGTGTAACTATCCCAAACAGGAGGCCATAGTGAAACACTGTAAGCAAAAATTAACTCTGGCCAAGTATGGTGGTTTACAACTATAATCCCAGCCCTTGGAAGACGGAGGCAAGAGGACTCTGTCTCAAAACACAAAACAAAGAAATGAATAAAATTTAACTATAAAATTAACTTCTTTAAGAAGTTCATCTAAGCCAGGCACAATGGCTTATGACTTTAATCCCAGCACTCAGGAGGAAGAAACAGGCAGATCTCTGTGAGTTGAGTCCAAGGCCAGCCTGATCTACATAGTGAGTTCCAGGCTAGCCAGGGCTACACAGTAGACCCTATCTTTTAAAAAAGAGTTTATGTACTTTCCTACAATGACCAAAAGTCACAATTGTACACATTGAGGAACACAGGGTGTGATGTGGTGACAGAACAAGGAAAACTATACTTGGTGTTGTCCATGGACAGATGGCTTCCAACTTAACAATACTTCAATTTATTTTATTATTTTCAGACAAGGTTGCACTATGTAGCCCTAGCTGGCATCCTCCTGACTCTGACTCCTGAATGCTGGAATTAATGCTGACTCCTGAATGCTGTGCCAGGCATGGTAGCACACATCTTTAACCCCAGCATTCGGGAAGCAGAGGTAGGTGAATCTCTGAGTTCGAGGCCAGCCTGGTCTGTATAGTGAGTTCCAGGACAGTCAGAGCTACACAGTGAGACCCTGGCCTCAAATTATTTTTCATCCACTTTACAGTGGGGCAAAAGTTGTACACATTTAGCAAAGTGTACTTTGTTTTGAGACAGTTTCTTGTAGCCCAGACTGTAAGCTTGATATTCAGTTGAGACTGACCTTGTACTCCTTTATTACTAGTTTTGAGGGGAAGCCTGGATGCCACAACGTGTATGAGATCAGAGGACAACATTGTGGAGTCAGTTCTCTTGTTCTTCCTTTATAAGAGTTCAGGGGACCAACTAGGGTTGCCAAGATTGCCGGCAAAAGCCTTTTGTCCACTGAGCTAAACCTGGGCTTCTGATCTTCCTGCCTCCACCTTTTGAGTGCTGGCATTACAAGTGAACACCACTGGACCAGCATGGGGGCTCCAGGGAAGCAGGGACAGGCAGAGCTCTGTGAGTTCAAGGCTGGCCTGGCCTATATAGTAAGTTCTAGGACAGTCAGGGCTATGTAGAAAGACCCTGTCTCCCCTCCTCCTCAAAAGGCACACCACTGCTCCCCATTTTATTAGGGGATGAGATCAAGCCCGGGGCTTCATGCACACTATGCAAGCACTCTACCAACTGAGCCACCTCTCTAACTCAGCATTTTCACTTTGTACAAACTATTTTCATTCATTCATTCATTCATTCGCTTTTTCCAGACAGGTTTTTTCTGTGTAACAGCCCAGGCTGTCCTGGAACTCACAGAGATCCACTGTCTGCCTCCCGAGTGCATGTACCAACATGCCAGGCTTTCTCTACTTTTTTGTTGTTGTTTTTCAAGACAAGGTTTCTCTGTGTAGCTTTGAAGCCTGTCCTGGAACTCGCTTTGTAGACCAAGCTGGCCTTGAACTCACAGAGATCCACCTGCCTCTGCCTCCTGAGTGCTGGGATTAAAGGCGTGCGCCAGTACTGCCCAGCTCCACTTTTAACGTTACATTTTTTTATTTTCTCATTCAATGTGTGACGAGGTTATGCATACTGCAATATGCGTGTGCAAGCCAGAGGGCAACTTGTGGGAGCTGGAGGTTGACTCAGGTCCTCAGACTTGGCAGCAGGCGTCTTCACCCTTGGCGCTATCTCACTGGACTTTTTATTACATATTTTTAACTATTTGTTTTTATTTTCATGTGTATGGGTGTTCTGCCTACATCTATGTCCGGGCACCACATGTATGCGGTGTTCACTGAGGACAGGGCGTTAGGTTCCCTGGAACTGCAGTTGCAGACGGCTGTGAGCTGCCACGTGGGCGCTGGAAGAGCAACAAGTGTTCTAAACCACTGTGCTGTCCTGCCAGTCCTTTAAGAAATATTAATGAATTAATTGTTTAAACTTTTAGAAAGGAAGTCCTAGTTTTCTTCTGCTGTTGTTAGGAGCACTGTAACCATGAGCAACAGAGGGGGAGTTTTTGTTTTTTTGTGTTTTTTTGGTTTTTTCGAGACAGGGTTTCTCTGTGGCTTTGGAGGCTGTCCTGGAACTAGCTCTTGTAGACCAGGCTGGCCTCGAACTCACAGAGATCCACCTGCCTTGTCTTCTTCTTGCAGGCCATAGTCTACCACTGAGGGAAGTCAGTCAGCTCAGGAACCCAAGTAGGAACAGGCAGGAGTCGTGGAGGAGTGCTATTGCTTCTTTCTCCCTCTGGATCATGCCCAGCCAGTTTGCTTTCTTCTTTGTATGAAATTATTTTTAAAATGTGGATATGTGAATATGGCCGTGTGTGCACGTGAGGGCGGGTGATGGAGCTGGATCTCTCTGAAGCTGGGGTTAAAGGTCACGAGCAGCTGGATGTGGGTGCTGGAGGTGGAGTCATCTGCAATAGTAGCATGTGCTCTCAAACCTCTCCCACCCTCCCCCACCCCCGCTGGCCCTCAATTAGCAATGAAGAAAATTACCCACAGACAGGTCCCCACACCAGTCTGATCTCTGGGGCCATTCTTCCCTGGTGACTCTAGTTTGTATCAAGTCGACAATAAAACTAACCAGTGCACAAGATTTTACAGTGTAGCCCAGGATGGCCAGGGCACAAGGTTTTACATTGTAACCCAGGCTGGCCAGGAATTTGTGATCCCCTGCCTCAAACTCTCAAGTGCTAATGTTGCATGTGAGCCATACTACCCCCAACATCTGCATTTCCTATTTATATTTTCAGCTTAAAGTGGCCTCATCAAGGCATGACCCCATCATAAATTGGAGAGCACCTGCGCCCATTAGGTAGTGTTGGGTGTGCCACTGCCATACACTGGTTTTCTTTGTATTACCAGCAATGCACTGCCTAGTCATGAGACCTCCAAAATTAGTGATTTTTAGGTCAACTAAGGGGCTGGAGAGATGGCTTAGAGGTTAAGAACACTGACTGCTCTTCCAGGTGTCCTGAGTTTAATTCCAAGAAACCACATGGTGGTTCACAACCACCTGTAATGAGATCTGGTGCCCTCTTCTGGCCTGCAGACATACGTGCAAGCAGAACACTGCATCCATAATAAATAAATAAATCTTAAAAAAAAAAGGAAACAAGGGCTTATAGTCTTCAATTGGAATCTGACACCAATAGATTCTGTACTGTCTGTGGACATCTACAGTGGGTCCTGTGATTTAATCTGATATTGTCATTATGTGAATTTAGTGCAGACTCCACAGTATAGGGGCCCAGCACACAACTGCCATCACCATAGAAGCCAAACTAAAGCCTAGGCCTCTGCACTTGTACCCCATGGAGACAGGTGAGGGACTACCACAAGAGGGCACAAAGGCAAGTCGGCTCAGAGTCCTGAGCGAGGAAAGCACGACGTGTGATCTGCCTTCCTTCTTGTACTCTCCAACAGCTTCATCATAAGACATTAGATTGGGCTTCATCATAAGACATTAGATTTACTTATGGAGTAAAGAAGCCCCTTATGACATGTCCAAGCTAAAATTAGAGTTAGAGATAACTATACAAATGACAGCGGAATTGCTATTGAGGAAAACCTTTGTCCCATAAAATGCCCGTGGTAAATCCCCAGAATCAACTCAGAGTTTGAAGGGTCTGTCAGAGCAAAAACCACAAAATTTTTGTGTGTGTGCAGGTGTGTGTGTGTGTGTGTGTGCGCGCGCACGCGCGCATGTGCATCTATGATACTGGAAATTAAACCCAGGCCTTTGACGCATGCTATAGCTCATACCACGGAGCTATACTTCCAGCCCTTGTTTCCTCCTTTTTTTTTTTTTTTTTTTTTTACGAGACAGGGTTTCCTCTGTATTGTTTTGGAGGCTGTCAGTCCAGCCCGGCCTCAAACTCACAGAGATCCGCCTGCCTCTGCCTCCCGAGTGCTGGGATTAAAGGCGTGTGCCATCACCGCCTGGCCCTTGTTTCCTCTTAGTTGACCTAAAAATCACTAATTTTGGAGGTCACATGAATTAGGCAGTACATTACTGGCCCCCATTAGCTTTGACCTGAAGGTTATGACTACAAAAATAGCTTAGGTTTCTTTGCGGAAACTCGAAGGCTGCTTTTGTTTGTAGCATTGGGATCACTTGAACAGATAGATGGACCACAAAAATGAGATAAGAAGTGTGGCACTTCCCTTCTTAAATAGATTCTGTCCCTTTTGCTAACTCACACTCTAAACTAATTCTACTCTGCTCTGCAGAAAGACATGCTGAATACGGGAGAAATGTTTAGTCCAAAACCTGCACAGCACAGGTGAACCTGGCCTGTTTCCCCATCAAGTCGTTTCTTCCTGCCACTCTCGGACTTTCTCAGCAGCTCTGCAGCTGAAGATGTGCAGCTCCTCAGCCTTACCCTTAGGCCAAACCACACCCTGGGCTCAACCATTTATGGAAGAGTGTGACATCAAGCCAGGTGTGGTGGTCTGTGACCTCAGCCCTGGGCAGGTAGAGGCTGGAGGATCAGGAACTCAAAGCTAGTCTTGGCTATCTAGTAAAATCTAAGGCCAGCCTGAATAGTATGTGATGGAATGAATGTTGGCCATGGCGGTCTATGCCTGTATCTCAACGCTCAGGGGACAGTGGCAGAAAGCTTAAGGCAAGACAGGAAAACATACGGAAACTCTATTAAAAAAAAAAAAAAACAAAGAAGGGAGCTGAGATGTGGTTCAGTTGGCAGAGTGTTTACCTCAGATGTTCAAGGGCTTGAGCTCTGTTCTCAGTGTCTCATAAACCAGACCTGGAGACTGGAGAGTCAGAGTTCAGGGGCATCTAGCTACATAGTGAGTTCAAGGCCAGCCCAGAATACATAAAGGCCTGTATCAAAATAGTAATTAATAATAATAAAGGGTAACATCAACAGAAGGAGCTCAGCAGTTCTGGGGTTAAGTTATTGCCCCCAATCCGCCCGGTGGTCAGAATGATGGGGCAGAGGAAGGAAAAACCTTTACTTTAACTGTGCCCTGACCTGCGGACGGCTGCTTTAGTTCAGTCAAGGAAATGGAAGTCTGCTGTTGTCTTTGCTAAGTGAGCAGCTTCCTCACATCTTTGGTCTGTACCAGTTCCCTTCCACTCCAGAGCTGAAGTCCCTTCAGGGAGCCTTGTCTTCTTGTGTATAATACATGGCATGCCCTCATTTTTAGTCCCAATGTCGTCAGAGCCTGCCACCTGGCAGCAATAGCAGCTATAAACTCAGGCTTCTCAGAGCCTTCTCCTTGTGTTCAGTCATTTTCCAAAAGTGTCTGCAAAACTCAGGGATGCATCTGCTTCCGTGGAGTGGTTTAGACAAAGGTCACCACCCAGAAACAGCCAGAGCACAGGGAAACTGATGGGAAGGTAAATACCCCCCCCCCCTTTTGTGACCTTCCAGGCCCTCCCACTGCATGCTCTCCAAATCTCCTTTTAGGCTTTCAGGGTCAGTTCTACCTCACAGATGGGCTTATTTGCCTTTGAAGATTAACTCAACTTCTGGTCCCTTTCCCTGGGTGGGGGTGGGGTGGGGTGGCGTGTTGTGGGAGGTAAGAGCTAAAAGTTCAACCCTCTAGTTCAGAGTTGGTCGGGTGCCAGACCCATCCATTCTCCGGAAGTCATGTCAGAAGCACAAATGCAGCTATGACGGAAAAGGGTGAAGAGAACACTGGCCCATGTTCCTCTCTCCTGACAGAAAACTCAAGGGCTTCAGGAGCTCTGTGCCCAGAACTTGGAGAACAAGACATGTCTACTTCCTTCTTTTTCCTCTTCCCCTCTCTATTGCTTCTCCACCATTCCCTCTCTCCAGGGTATTACTATAGTCCAGGTTAGCCCCTAATTCTCTGTTCTTCTGCTGGGATTACAGGTTTGTGTGTGTGTGTGTTTCCGTTTTGTTTTGTTTGAGACAGAACATCAGGTAGCCCAGGCTGGCCTTCAACTCCCATTGTTACTGGAAATTTTGGGGAGTCCCACCAAGGCTGCCACTTATTACCAGGGAAATCGGGGTTTTCCACTTGGAGTCTCATTAATAAAAGAGTTTAAGGAAAGACTCAAAAGGAAGCTCTAGGACAGTTTTATTAGCATTGAAAAGAAAAACCCCAGGGCAGACTGTGCAAATTTCTCCGCCAGCTGCTTGTGGGAGGGATATGGAAAAGAGGAAGAGAGAGAACCATATCCTTTGAGTTAGGCATGGACGTGAGGCTCGATGGACAAGCAGGCGCATGGTGGGGGAAGAGAGCTTTGGAGGCGGGTGAAGCCCAGCGTTTCAGGAAAAGCATGCTAGAGCAGAGGTACTAAGAAGATGGCTCCGCACAAGAGTGCGGACTGATCTTGCAGAGGGCCAGAGTTGGGTTCCCAGCACTGGTGGGCAGCTCACAGCCTGTAACTCCAACTCTAGTGGCTCTGACACCATCTTCTGGCCTTCAAGGCCTCCACGGGTACAAACCAGTATACCAATACACACTCAGGCAAGCACACACAAACAATTAAAAAATAAAATCTTAATGAAAAGAGACAGAAGGAAGAAAAGTTACATTTTTCTGAGAAATTTTAAAAACAACCCACTCCTGAAGTTGTGTAGCTTTGTAAGCAGCTTCCCTAGGAGTGGGAATTCTGGGAAAGAAAGCCACATTGTATCAGCCTCCAGCAAGCACCCAGGCACATGTATGAGCTGCACACAGGCAAACAGTTGAAACAGGAGAAGATGGATTCCTACCTCAAGGTCATATTTATTCAGATCTCATTAAAGTAGCATTCTACCAAAATAAAGTAATAGTTCCCCATCTCTAAACAGCCTATGCTATTTCTCACCATGACATATTCCCAGCACACAGGAAGTAGAAGCAGGAGATTTGGGAACTCAAGGGCAGCCTGGGCTACACAGGCTTTGTTTCAAAATTTAAGGTAGAGAAGCCGGGTATGGTGGTGCACATCTGATCCCAGTGCTCTGGAGACCGAGGCAGGTGGATCTCTGTGAGTTTGAGGCCAGCCTGATCTACAGAGTTCCAGGACAGACAGGTCTGTTACACAGAGAACCCCTGTTTTGAAAAAAAGAAAAATTAAGGTAGAAAAGGTTGGGTGTGGTGGCACACACCTTTAATTCCAACACTGAGGAGGCAGAGGTAGGTGGATCTCTGTAAGCTACAGGCCAGCCAGGGCTAACCATATCTCAAAATAGTAAGGATAATAATAGTAAAGTGGAAAACAGTTGAGGAAGATACCAAACATCAACCTTTCACCTCCATGCAAACACACACACACAAACATGTATGTGTACCTGCACATACACAAACATGTATATACATGGCAACAACGAAACTGCAATGGACCAGCTCAGTGGTCATTCCCACAGTATATATGTTGGGAGAGTTTTCTCCATGAGGGCAGGAGAGAATATAATCCCTCCCTTCTAATGTCCCAAAAACAAACCCAGCATTCAATATACCAACCAAACCTCCCTCTGGAGAACCAGTGAGTTTATTAGGCTTATATAGAGTGCTGAAAGGAGGGATATGGGCAGGAACATGAATGACCCTATAGCCACCTCTTCTGGAAGGTCTGTGGTCAGCATGGATGATGGTTTCTCCACAGTCACATAGATGGAGCCCCTTCCCTCTATCTTTCCCAGCCTATGGACTCTAGCTCCCCCAGGACCCCAGGCACAAGTACAACTAGGGAAGAATTCCACACAACTGTTGGGAGGAGTGGCTGGATACTCAGGTAAGGGGACCCTTGCCATCCTTGAGCTGTTGGAGAACTTTGATAGTCAAGAAAAAGCCTGGCTGTGATGTCTTTGGCAAGCAGACCGGGCAGCTGGGTTGATCAGAGGAGTGTGCTGTGCCACACCACAGAAGTACCCAAGTTTGCTCCCCAGCGCCAGAGAAGAAAATAGGAGAAGAAAAACCTATGCATTACCTTACATTCTGGAGTCCTTGAAACTTAGCTGTTGTGATACAAAAAAAAAAAGTTCAAAATGTCACACACCCAGAGACAGCATGGGAAGGCCACAGTCTAGCTGAAGTCCCAGCTGCTGAAGGCCACCAAGCCATTGTCACCCACCAGACTTGTGACTGAACGGAGACTGCAAGCAAGGTCAGACCCAGCTGAGCAGCTGCTGTGGAATAACCTCAGATTTGCTTAATAAAATGCTGATTGACCAGGAACCAGGCAGGAAATACAGGCGGGACAACCAAACTAGGAGAGTGATGGGAAGAAGAAGGGCGGAGTCAGAGAGATGCCAGGCAGCCAGCCACCGAGGAAGCAGGTGTAGAAAATGAGGTAACAAGCCATGAGCCGTATGGCAAAGCATAGATAAGAAATATGGGTTAATTTAAATGTAAGGGTTAGGTAGTTGTCTAACGGTGGTGACGCATGCTTTTAATTCCAGCACTCAGAAGACAGAGGCAGGCAGATCTCAGTGAGTTTGAGGCCAGCCTGGTCTGCAAAGTGAGTTCCAGGACAGCCAGGACTGTTACACAGAGAAACCCTGTCTCGAAAAAACAAAAAACAAGCAAGCAAACAAACAAAAGAGTTAGCTAGTAACAAACCTGAGCTATCGGCCAAACATTTATCATTCATATTAAGCCTCTGTGTTGGTTATTTGGGACTGGCGGCCAGGATTGGGAAAGAAGCATCTGCCATCACCTCCATGAACTGAATAAAATGTTTACCCACTGTTACACTGCAATGTTTGAACTCTCCTGCAGACCTGCGGTGGTTTGAGTAAGAGTGGCCCCCATAGACTCATATTTGAATGCTTAGGGTGTGACATTAAGAGGTGTGGCCTTGTTGGAGGAAGTATGTCCTGGGAGGGAGTGGGCTTTGGGGTTTCAAATGCTCAAACCAGGCCCAGTATTTCTCTCCCTGTGGCCTGCAAATCCAAATGGAGAATTCTCAGCTCTTCCTCCTGCACCACATCTGCCTGAACTCTGCCATGTTTCCCACCATGCTGATAATGGACTAAACCTCTGAACCCATTAACCAGCCCCAATTAAATGCTTTCCCTATAAAAGCTGTCATGGTCAGGTTCTCTTCACAGCATTAAAAACCCTAACAAAGATACCACGCATCCTCGGGTCCTATTTGCAAACTTGACCTACATGTGTAAGAAATATTAAGCACAACTAGATATGGTGACACACATCTTTAATCCCAGCACTTGGGAGGCTAGCCTGGTCTATGTAGTGAGTTCCAGGGCAGCCAGGACTACATAGCAAGACTTGTGTCAAAAAAAAATTGAATATTAGTCTTTTCTGTCAAATACTGTAAAATGTTTGTTTATAATAAGGAATTCAAAGAAAACCTTTATACCAATGTTTTAAACCCCCTGCTCATAAACTTGTGTTTACACAAAGTCCCTGCGCCATCCTTATGACTTACGTGGCTGACCCCTCCCCCACTTAATGTTTTCTTGGTGCTGATTCTTCTCATACTAGCCAAATTTGAAAGACTATGAGGTCAGACCCCATCCAGTGGGGAGAAGACACAGTCCTTACCAGTGTTCGACTAAAATCCAAGGCCGGAGAGATGAAGAGCGCTTGTGCCTCTTGCAGAGGACCCTGGTTTAATTCCCAGGATGCATGTGGTAGCTAAAGGCATCACAATGTCGCTCCAGCTCTGTGGACTCTGATGTCCAAAGGCACAGGAATTCAACTGCAGGTTCTGAGTGCACTGCCCAGTGCCACAAGTGCCTCCTTGTCTGACTTGATGCAGGAAAGTCTCCCTGTTCAAGCTGATATAGTAAACATGCTGAGCTTTAGGGGTCCTGCAGCTTCTCCATCAGAGCTCAGTCCACCTAAACCCAGCTGTTCTGTGTATCTATTGTGCTGGTCCTTTCTTCATTCCCTTGTTGTCTCAGTAAGGTGTGTCCCTGTGTCATGCAAGGACTCAGTCCCTGACAATGTAGCCCAGGTTAGCCTCAAACTCAAAATCCTACCTCAGCTGGGATTATAGGTATAGTCACAACCAGATGGGCGCTTCCTTCAACTGCTCTCTTTGGCCTAGGGGACTGTTTAAAGTTGCTCTCCATCACATCTTTGCCCTACCTGTTTCACTCTTAGGTTTGTATGGTTCTCGTGTCTTGAGTTCCTGAAAGCCACTGACTTAAACTGAGGCTGTAGTGATATGGCCTGTCCCTTTTGAAACTCTTACTGGAATTTAATTGCCATTGAAACAGTGTTGCAGGAGGATGTGGTGGTGCCAGCTTGTTTTTGCTGTTTTACTTGTTTTTAGTTTACTTATTTAGAGACAGTCTCACTATGTAACCTTGGCTGACCTAGACCTCTCTAGGTAGACCAGGCTAGCCTCAAACTCACAGAGGAAAAGTGCTGGGATTAACAGTGTGCACTACCATGCCCTGCTACAGTCTTGAATTCTAGCACTTGGAAAGTAGAGGTAAGAGGATCAGAGATCCAGTTCATCTGGAACTACATAAGACTGTCTCAGAAAGGACTGGGGATGAGGCTGGAGAGAGACTCAAGGGTTAATGGCATTTGTTTTTGCAGAGGACCCAGGTTCTATTCCAGGCACCCACATGGTGGCTCATAATATAATGAGTTCATAATTCCAATTCCAGGAGATTCAATGCACTGGAGAGAGATGGCTCAGGGGTTAAAATGGGTACAGGACCCTAGTTTAGTACCCAGCACCCATATTAACATGACTCACAACATCGCATGTAATTTCAGATATGACCTCTATGGACTGTTTGGATATATCTGCACTTCATGTACACACAGCTAGGAAAAGGTAGACCCCTAGATTAAATCTCCAATAATAAAGAAAAAATTCATTATCAATTACCCACCTAGGTGAAGTGGTATATGCCTGTTATCCCAGGATTTGGGAAGTAGAAGCAGGAATATCAGTTCAGGTCAGCCATGGCTATAACAGACTGTTTCAAAAACCAAGACAGGAGGAGGGGCTCCTGAGACCCCACCCTTTCCTGTGGATACACAGGCGGTTAGCTGCTGATGTGGGAAAGACATTTTCTTCAGGGGTGTAGCCACTGGCATAAGGTGTCCATGGAGACAGAAGAGGCACTCTCTGGGAAATGGAA